TTGCGTTTTGGAAAGGTGACCACCATTAACCATGTAATGTATCTAATATTCTATATTTCTCTGGGAGGCAACTGCACCCTTCCCCCCCCCCCACAACCACCAGCTATGGTCCGACTGCATTGCCTAACATACGCACATCTATTCCTCTTTATATAAGGCGTAATAAATTTCACTAAAAACGTACATTCCTACGATATAAAGCATACGGTACGTGTTTTCTAATATCAGGTTACTGCGTTAACTAGCCTTAGTAGGCGATCAGCAAAGTAGGCTACATATAAGCTAGGTAGTGCATGATGTGTGTAGAATTATAGTGTTATTCATTCATTTCTGTAAAATTTGCCCGAATTCATGACGAAGACGAGAATATATGACCTTATCACTAACCTGTCAACAAGCCATAGGCAGCGATGAGTACATTCAGTTCTGCTGCCCCATANGATATGGCGGGGTTATATCTCGGCAGATGTGAATTATAAATAGTATTTGGATGTGACTGTTCGCGCGAGTCTCTACTGGCCAAACTAGTGTTCTGTGCAGTGGTGACAGAGACACTATTTGGTCATTGCACGTTATCATCATGGAATCATGAAAGTATAATAGTTCTTTCGCATTGGCTGCCGCACGTGGCAGTTGTTTGGACTATACAAGTAGAATTGAAGGAATAAAATAGAGCATAATAAGAATTTGTTGTGGTGCGACGAAAGCTACACGTTAGCGCCGGAGAATGCAAACCAGTTTTGACGATGTTTTTAAACAGCTAGCCCTTGGAACTGATAGGCCACCGTACATGACACGCGTGATGGAATATTATTAGTGTTGAATACTAGTAAAGCTGGCTAAGCGCTAGTCAGCACTACACGTAGCTGTTCAAAATGAATACGAACACAATGGTGCATCTAAGTTCTCAGAGAAGTGCCTGTCATGAAATGAGTAGAATATGCGTCTACCTTGGCCCCGCCAGCGCGTAGCGGCCTCGCCAAGAAGTGCTACTGCGAGAAATAAGTAGATCACCCCAGGATAGTAGGCAAGCAGTGCGGTTATTGGTGTGTGCCGCAGGCACCATGGCTACGCGTCGATCGCGGAGAAGCCATGCGGTGGGGTCTGGGGGTACTCCCCCAGAAATTGTTTTGTACATGTAGAGCCTGGAATGAATTTCCTGCATTTTTAGCTATGTGTAAAAGCAACCAGTTTCTGATCATTTAAAAGGTGCCAATTTGTAAAATTTCCAGAGGAATGTGAGCTACAGCTGATGTTTGAATAAAGTATTAAAATATATATATGAGTTATGCATAACCTAATAAACATTGTTTACAAAATTGTATATACGGATCAGTACATAATTATGAATAAAGTAATATAGTTTTTTAAATTTTCGCGTTCCAGTGCATACGTAACTTTCAGAATAGGTTTGAAGCCGCCGTGAAGGCATGCATGCCACGTGTGTGTGTTGTGTGTGTTTGTGTGTGTGCGTGCCGTGCGTCGCGTGGCGTGTGTCGTGCGTGCGTTGTGTTTCTCGATGGTGTGTGTGTGTGTGTGTGTGTGTGTGGTGTGTGTGTGTGTGTGTGTGTGTGTGTGTGTGTGTGTGTGTGTGTGTGCGCCGTGTGCGTGCGTTCATCCTTCTCGGTCATGTTTTCTCATCCTCTACATAATACAAGCATTGTATGGTTCAATGTGCTACAGCATAGATTTTAAAGGAATAGTCACTGTGTTCCTCAACGTTCGCGGAGACCCCGCTCTTTTAAAGCGTGTCCAGTTTTCATAGCATTGAATTTCAACTGGAAAATCCTAGTTCCGGAGACCCCGATTTTCGCAACATAAGCCAGTTCCAGAGCATACCAACATTCACATCAAGCATTAGTTTCAGAGACCCCATATTTCTGTCTGGTTAGTTCCAGAGCGCCCCCCTCCCTCTATGTTTAGACGTTCGCAGTGGCACATACTACCATAAGTGTGGGGTGAGTGCCCGCCCCCCCCGGGGTTTTCATCTCTTTGGTATATGTTGCTCCGTTGGTTTCCCTGCACCATTTTTTTGTCAAATGTGCCAACGCAGTGCCGTGCTGCCGTGGCGGCCACAGGCCCTCTAGCAACACTTCTCTAGAAGTCGTAGTGAGTTGTTTGGCGCAAGCAGTGCTGGTTAGTAGCATTCCCAGTGCACTGCAGCTGTTTCAAGAACTTTACAGACGGAATTTCAGGGCAACACATTCATAAGCAATGAGCGATTTGTGTGCGGAAATTGTGGAGATGGGCACCGCGAGTTTTGTGCTAAAATGGGAAAGAACAATTAGAGGGGCACAGGCAAGGGAAGGTGTGTCAGCAATGACAACGCTAGGGATGGCAGCAAGGAAGATGTGTCAGCAATGACAAGCGCTAGGGGTGGCAGGCAGCAAAATGTGTGCAGACATGGCACGCTAGGGGATTAGGCAAGGAAGATATGTGTTCATCGATGGCAAGCAGGAATGCAGCAAGGAAGATGTGTCAGACATGCAACGCTAGGGGATCAAGGCAAGGTCTGTGTGTCCCGGATGGCAAACAACTAGCGGAATGCAGACAAGGAAGTTTTATGTCAGTGGGTGACGGTGACAGTAGAAGAGTTCTTCAACACGCAAACGGAATGGTGCAGTGTTACTGCTGGCGGAAATCGGAGCCACAAGCAACGCCCGGCAAGACAAGACGATGACATAGAAATCACCGCGAGCATACTGGCAATTGAGAGAACTAAGGTGCATGTCATACACCGACATGGCTGAGGCGTGGATGTGTGCTGGTTGGTGCCTTGTCGTGAATCGTTCGTAGTGGTCCAGTGTAGGACTATCCTGTACTCTTACAGAATTTGTCAGCGTGTTGGACGATCAAGAAAGCTTGATTGTGCCTCATTATGGATCGTTAATCTCGGAGTTTCTTTCATGACAGTCAGTCACCTCGCGACACTACTACATATGATGACACACAGTCGTCCACTCACGTTTCCCTACCACTATTCTTGTGTTACTATGTTGTTTTTATCGAGCGGCTTTTTTAGAGCAGTGGCAATTAACTAATCTGTTTCGTTCTGTATTTAGAGAGAAAGAGAAAGAGGAAGAAAAGGAGAGAGAGAGAGCAGGAGAGAGGAGAGAGGGGGGAGGAGAAGTACAGCAGTGAGGAGAGAGAGTGTGAGAGAACGGAGAGAGAGAAAGAAAAGAGAGAGAGAAGGAGAGAGAGAGAGAGCAGAGAGAGAGAGCAGAGAGAGAGAGAGGGAGAGAGTAAAGAGTGAACACGGCGTGCCCCTTTTTTCTCTCGCCTTACACCGGCCGCGTGATAACTCATGTTACATAAATTCGCCCAAACGTGGTTTGTGAATCACGACCACTTTCTTGGCAATAAGAAACGATAATTCACTTCTCATTTCACTTTTCACTTTCTCTTCACATTCCTCATGTGAGAATGAACAGGTTTCCCACCTAAAAACTGCTTTTCCTGCATTGCATCATAAAATAATAAATGTATATGTTCGACGATGTTTACTTTCACTCTTGCGCTATACATACAACTACTACTACTACACTGCATAATTGTGCATTCAGCCTTCAGCATCCCCCATCCATCCCTGCATCCAACGTACTCCAAGTACAGGGTACTAATTCTTATTCTGAACTTTTTTTCCCGTGTTACATCATTATAAAAGTATCAAGCCCCAAAGCCTCCAAATTTGGTAACTCCCCAAGAAATTGTTAGGATAGACGGAGTCAATATGCACAACAAATGTTCTCTTAATTGATCCGTGACCAGTGAAGTTAAAATTATTAAATTCGTAATTACCTCGCATTTTATAACCATCAAAAGCTAGGACCTGTAGTAAAATTATTGTCTATTCGGAACACAGAGGATGTACATGAAAGTGCTGGCACGGATCAACGTGCAAGTAGAAAGGCCAGAAATGTAGTGCTGGTACACACCTAAATCATAAATCCTGCACAGTTGGTCTACTCGATTATGTAAAGCTTTATGCTAGGAAACACGAGGCGTTTTTGCGTTTTACATCAGCATTCACAATTAGTCGCGCAGTGCTGCCTCTGATCAATATTAAAACTTTGTTTGAAAGTGTGCCGAATAGCGTTACAGCAAACTATGTTTGATATCACTTACAATTTGTTTTCACTGCTTTCGGTGTGATAAAACACTAGATGGAACTGATTTTAACCATACCTCAATCCAGCATATGTCATGCAAGGTAGCCAGAGCCTCACAAATACCATTTTGTGGACGTCGTGATGCTTTAAATAGACAGTTTTAATATTATGTTGACCAATGTTTACGTGCATTCATAACAGTCTTTGTAATATGGAAAACCACTTTTTTGTAAAGTGTGTACTTGTAAAGTGTGTACCCCCAAGGGGGTTACCCACTTTTTTGTCCAAAAAACTTGCCAGAGGAACAAATATCCAATTAAAAGATGGAAGTCAAAGGATAAGTGCGACCCACGTTACAAAACTTCGCATTACGGACGTTTTTTCTGGAATGTATTACTTTCATAACACGTGGCTTTATCGTACACTCATCACTACAACTGTTTCCTTAACCATGGTGCAGAACACCAGTTTAATTAGAAGACGCGCTCGCGCGTACAGTGATATCAACGCTATTCAATTTCATTCAATTCAATTCAATTTACTTTATTTACACTTATGAGTTACATTTTGGAGCTAACACTAGGTACGATCGCTTCCATACTTGTGTAGTTCTACTTCCAGCATAGATCAGGGGTTAGCTAGCCACGTTCACCAGCCTGCAGCTCTCTTCCCACAGGCGTTCACGAAGGCATGCATCCTCACACATCGCGTTCGGCCGCGCCCGCTGCGTCACGTCATAGTAGTGTCCGCTGACGCCGTCCAAGTCCGGAGACAGCGCAAGCATCAGAATATTCCTCGCTGCCTCATCGGCGCTCTGTGACGGAGGAAAGAGAAGTCCACGTGAGTGCGAGAGGGCAGCTTTATTGCTGCAGGATCTCTTAGGAGAGAGAAGTTCACATGCGTACAGGAGGAGTTCACTGATGCAGGCACTCTGAAGAGAGAGAAGCCTGTGTGTGTGTACAGGAGGAATTCACTGATGCAGGCGCTCTGAGGAGAGAGAAGCCTATGTGTGTGTACAGGAGGAATTCACTGATGCAGGCACTCTGAGGAGAGAGAAGCCTATGTGTGTACAGGAGGAATTCACTGATGCAGGCGCTCTGAGGAGAGAGAAGCTTATGTGTGTACAGGAGGAATTCACTGATGCAGGCGCTCTGAGGAGAGAGAAGCTTATGTGTGTACAGGAGGAA